TAAAACACATATTTACCCTAGGCTACCATATCTAAAATATGACTTAAACAATATTTGTTTATTTTATTAGATTTTTTACCTTGCTCTTAGTATTTAACAGAGTAAGAGTTGGAAGTGACCTTGGAGGTCTTCTAGTTCAACCCACTGCTCAGGCAGGAAACCTTATACCATTGTGGACAAATGCACAGGTAGGTGCATAGGTGGTACTTGGCTCAAGAGTAGTAACTGAGAAAGGGATCTTGGAGTGCTAGTGAATATCACTTACTTATGAGCCAGCAATGTGCTGCAGCTACCAAAAAAACCCACACAGTCTTTGTCTGCCTTAATAGAGGGAATCAAGATCACATAAAGTGTTAATACCACTTTATAATGCCTTGGGAAGGCCACACTTGGAATACTGCATCCAGTTTTGGTCACCATGATGTAAAAAAAAAGATGTTGAAAGAGTACAGAGAAGAGCAACAAAAATGTTTAGGGGACTGGAGTCTAAAACATATAAAGAACAGTTGCAGGAATTGGGTATGTCAGTTTAATGAAAAGAAAGACGTGGGGTGACATGATAGTAGTGTTCCAACATCTAAGGGGTCGCTACAAAGGAGAGAGGATCAACCTATTCTCCAAAGCAGCGATCACCAACTGGTGGTCCATGGACCACGAGAAAATTTTGGAGGTCCACAGAAAAATTATTTGAATTTTTTTATATTGCACTAAATCAGGGGTCCTCAAACTACAGTCCCTGGGCCAGATACGTGCAATGAACGCTTGTGTTGCTGCAGAGAGTCTCCCCCTTCGGGGTCTTTTTGTGCGTGTTGGAAGGGGGGCAGAAATTCTGACCTGGGGGGTCTGCTTCAGCCTCCTGGTGGTGGGCTTTGGGTGAAGGCTGGAAGGAAGTGCTGCTGGTGGCAAAGAGCTAACAACACTGGGACTGCCTCATGGCCTGGAACTGGCTGACCATCTCAGCCCGCTGAGCCTCCGGGCACTGGTACCTGGCCTTGTACTCCCCCAAATCTTCCCTCTGCTTGGAAAGCCTATGCTCGTAGTCCTCAGTGAGGTGCTTCTGCTGAGACTCCTTTTCAGTCAGATTGCCAGACCTGCAGCCTTTTGGGATCTTTGGCCTGCCACACTAATATTTTTTTCTACTATGCTGTTTCATTAGTGGGGAATTGGGAGGGGGGGAATGGTAAGGAGTAGAACGTGTTGTTGTCAAAATAAAATTCATTTTTAGAAACCAAGGTCGTCTTTTGTTCTCGACATCTCTGAACCTGACCGGAACTGGATGGGTGGAAGCTGCCAGCGTGGCAGTGGATGATTGGACCATGGGATGGACTTGTGGGTGTGGGAGCAAGATCATGAACTTTCAACTGGGTGGGGAAAACTGGAAAGCTTTCAGATTCGGGTTTTCATAGATGTGTCAACATGTCTCTCTTAATAAATTGGAACTTTGAGCAAT